TTGGTTAGGACACATTCAAACCCTAAAGACTGATAGTAGTGAATTCTTCCTCGGTAACCGATAACTCCATTTCTCCACCCTTAATAACTCCTTTCTACCCAACTCCTCCACCGACTTGCAATTGGCACCCCGGGTAAGTCGTTAGCCACTGTTTAGCAATCTCATAGATGTTCGTTCTCCCTATAGAACCGTTAGGAAAAAAGACTTGATATCTATAAGTCATTTCCAGCGTGTTGTAAAGCTAGAGGGCGCCGTAAATTTAGATAACAAGATTTGCACAAGGAATGCTCTAGTGTCTGTGAGGAACCCCTGCTCATGAGTATAATACTCACGTAATCCATAAAAATAAAGCCTAGCACCAGTATGGAATGATAAATAATTCCAAGCTCCCCTAAAACTAAATAAATAACGTGTAAAACAATAAAAGGCACACATAAAACAAGCCCCGAAAGTAAAGCCCCTAAGAATGCTCTTCCCTGAGGGAAGGCAAAAGATGCGAATGCCCACCAGATTGCAATAGAATCCCAATGGAGCACCGTAAAAGTTAGAGGTCTAAAGATCACGTTGATCAACCCTCTACAAAGGCCCACCCCAGTAACAAAAACATTCGAAAGCATTTTAAAATCATATAATAACTGATATCTTAACGGCTGAAAAGTCTCAAAATCCGGCAGGTTGGTCCCTATGTAGGAAGGACACTTGGACTATAGCCTATTACCCGCTGAGAATTAATGCACTCATTACAAGCGCTCTCAAAAGATCCTACCTCTCGTGGACCCTCCATGGTCCGTGACTATACCTATTTCTATCCCGCCAGTAAAGGTCGGCGGTTTATGACCCTGTCATAATGACCTATTGCTCATAGGTTACGCCTTTGCTCATCAGATTATGACAGGTTATAAAAGCGAATTATTTTCTCAAAATTCAAGGTTTTTTCTCCCCCACACCTCAAACGGGACATCATCAAATTTGAATGAGACCAGGCCTTCGGTCACCCTACTCTGGACCTGTTTTTATTCAAACATATTCTTGGTTTTACATTCCAGATCGGTGCGGATAGCACTTTAACAGGCAGGCTGACTCGGGGAGCTAGAAAAGAAATTGATTCCAGATAACTCAAACTCAATTACAGGGTCCTCCCATACCCCTTTCTTTCACCTCAAAAGATTGAAAGCCCAACACGATAGGCCATCATTGATGCTATATAAGGTTTAACTAATTCTTGTACTTTAGGAACTTCTCTTTTAGGGATCTGATGCGATATTGGTTTTTAGCTTGATTTTTCACATTGCGAGTTGATTCTATATTTAACTTACTTAAGAGTATAGAGCGCAAGATGTCCACTTCTTCTGGGGTGAAGGAATCAGTGCTTATTTCTATGCAACCATCACGCTTATTGAAGGATCCGTCCGGTGCCGGGCCTGATAAGGGTACGGCTCCTGCTCCTGCGGTCGTCCAACCCGTTGGGTCAGACCGCAGGGTCGTCCAACCCGTTGGGTCAGACCGCAGCCGGCAGCCGCTGAGCCAATAAGCTAGGGCAATAGGTGTAACTAGATCAGCGATATTCTCAGGCAGGACTTTGATGTGTTTCCCATCAACTCGAGTATACCATACTTTAGATTGATCAGTAAAGTAGGGATGAGTGAAAGTTGCGAAGGCATATGAGACATCAGTATTATCTGTCCGTTTATCGTAGTAAGATGATTTCCGTGGAGGAGTGCCTACCAGACCTATAGAGGAAAAACGATGGTGAATCAAAACTCATGGTCCTTTTGCTTAATTTGTAATCTAGCCTCCTTAGCCCGAGCAGGAATTGCAAGGCAGCCATCACTGATGAGCATTCCTATAATAACTTCTTGGATTTCAGTAGGGATCACTAGTGCAGCCTTTTGTTCCTTGCTAAGGCCGGCTGCGGTCTGACCCAACAATTGGGTTGGACGACCCTGCGGTCTGACCCAACAATTGGGTTGGACGACCGCAGGAGCAGGAGCCTGATAAGGGTACGGCCCGGCAACTTTTCGAGTGGATTTGCCTTTAGGATTGAGGTATGAGGGATCGGAGGCAGAAGAATAACTAACTTGAGAGTTAGTGAAGACAAGGGTTATAGGATCGAAATCCAAAGGTCAGGATGTTAGTCCTGGGAGAAGAATCAAAAACGGGACCCCCAAGTGACATGGGGCGATAAGGCCACCCCAGGGGCCAAATTTGGCATTCTTAAGCGTACCTAAACGTATGGTAATGGTTTTTGACATTGTGGGTAATTAATGAGCCCGTCGAAGACTTGCGGCCGTCCAACCCAATTGTTGGGTCAGACCGCAGCCTTTACCCTATCTTCTATGGAGGCCCCTTCTATGGGACCGATTCTCCCCATTTCAATGCTTTAATCAATGAATTCCTACCTCATACGGCCTAATCTTCTTTTTCTCTTCTCTAGTCAATTTCGATGCCTATTTGCTTCTAGTCCCATCGGTGGGTTGACCATCCCTGCCATGGCTGCTGGGTTGATCGTCAATTCATTAGCACCCATTGGATCTTTCCATTCTCGTCAATATTAGGCCTCTTTCTTGCCTATTTTGGCAATTGTCTTTCTGGACTCTGACTGTCTGCTGGAATCTGTTGAAGAGTGGGGCCCATTCCTAATTCAAGCAAGCGCAAATGGCCTTAATATTTAGGGGATGACGGGAATAGTGTGATTAGGGATGGAGAAATGGAGTTATCGGTTACCGAGGAAGAATTCACTACTATCAGTCTTTAGGGTTTGAATGTGTCCTAACCAAACTACTAATCGAAGTATTGGATTCTAATTCTCCCAATGGTAGTGTCATTCTCCTAATCTGCAATAATTGGGGTGGATTCTGATGGGAATCCTCAGAGACTACACGCGCTGCTGGGTTGAAGAGAGAGTCCATTGGATATGTTTATTGATCTCATTGGACGTGGTAGGGCAGCTGCTGAAAGGGTGGCTGTCATGTTGCTAGTTTTCCCACACTATTTATTGGGTACTCGTTCTCTCCGTGATCTCGTACTGGACTGGTGGTGGCCTAGTTCTGATGGGGGGACAGGATTTAGATCTGTTAGAAACATCTTAGAATGCTCTTGTGGATTGGTGCCATATTTACTTGAATGATGGTTTGAATGATGCTCCTATCGTCCTGTCCATGCTGTCAGCATCCTAGTGGGATTGTATCCAGGCAAAAGGGAGGCAGCCCAGGAAAGGGACAGTAAAGCTCCTACATTCATTGGCTAGGTATTGGTAGTGGTTCTAATGGTAATCCGTATTCTATGTATCATAGTAGAAGTGGGGGAGAATAAACTAACACTCCAGTGGGTCATTCTCATGGATTTCTACCTTTCCAACTAGTTCAATTTCTGAGTCCACCTCTTTATGGCCTTTACGGCTTAGCCCAATAACTCTGAAACTAAACACACCCCCTTTTAAACTGACTCCCTTGGTTACTGCCCTCTTGATCACCTTTTTATGCTACTACCGGCTAGTGGTCTTACTGATGGATGCTGGATTGACGGGGTTCCCATTGATCTGCCCAAACTACTGACTGGTGGGGCTTAACTTGGTAGTCGCTCTGTGCCTTCGCTCTGTTGTTGGTATGGTTGTTGGATTAGATCTTGGGAGATTTCCCGGTGGTTTTATGATTAAGACACTGGTGGGGTATGTTTGGATGCTCCTCAATCCCAGTATGGTAGCCTTCAGTATTATGGGCAGAGTCACTGAGGTGGCCACTGCAGTGTTCTTTTAGTTCTACGCTATTGACCTTATTGTGGTCCTGACCTTAGCCCTCTGAAGCTTACCGCTCCTTAGCCCTAGCGATCTTGTCCTCATTGGATTCTGTGGTAAGCAATAGGCGATGGGAAGGAACTGGTGGTGGGATCAGATGGATGCTGCCCTCACTGGGGGTCAATATTGTTACTGGTTAGGTGGGCAGTAGTGAATCGGGTATCCTATCTTTCACCATAACAATCTTATCCAATGGGCTCACTAGCTTCGCTGCTGGGTGGTGTGTGGTGGTATTTATGATCCCCTCACTGTGGTGGTAGCCGTTAATCATGGGTTCAATAGCTTATCGCTCTCTGCTGGGATACTGGTGCGAACTGGTATTTTAGATAGCTATTTTAGGGGGTGATCGCTGGGAGTAGTTTATTCCCTTTTAAGCTAACTGCCTGCTAGTTGTTGGTCTGACTGTTAGCTGCCCAGCCTGAAACAATAAGAGCAAAGACCCCTAACTCACTCAGGGCCTAAATCAACTAGATCCCTCCACCATACAATTCCTACAAGGCGATACCCGCATCCAATGGCTACACCAACCAGCACATTATAGCCTAAGAGAAGCTAACAACTGGTGCATAGATAAAGGGTAATGCCCCCGATTCTAATGGCTAGATCGTCTCCTTCAATAGCTATTGAAATCCATCTGCCTATGGCTGTAATAAGCCCCCATCCCAACCCAATGAGGACCAAGGCGTCGTTGCATTGACCCCATTAACTTACGCTCACACTAAGTCATCAAAGCAACCGCCTAGGGAATGGCCCAGAGTTCAGCGAGAACCACAGAGAACCGGCCAACGACCGCACCAATCTACCAATCAAGAGGCTCCAGAGAGTCTTAATCTAGCTACCTGCATTATCAACAGGTTAGGAAAGCTAAGATTATTGTTCGAAACCAGTAGCATGGCAATAAGGACAGAGCTCCAGCTAATCGAATTGAGATACCAATAAGGTCTAAATTGTGGCAACTTACTATCAGTATTAGGGACCCCACCAATAGAAGCACAAGAAGAGCTAGAACCAGACAAGATCAACGCCAATAGTAAATAGCCTATTCAAGAGCTAAGTGGTGCTCCATGGATAGATGGTCCAATCTAATGCGTATTGCTGCTAGGGTTAAGATGATGAGCCCTATGAGGACATGAAGTGCATACTAGCCAGTTGTTAGATAAAAGACCGAACCGAATACACTATCGGCAATGGTCAATTCACCATAGCTCTATTCAGTTGATTGTAACCCAAGAAATAAGAGAGCTAACACGAGAGTTAGGCCATCGCAATTAAACACCTATCTTTCTCGCCACCGTTACAACAATGATGCGCCAAAGTCAAGCTGACTCCCGAATACAACTATACACAACTACCCTACTAAGGAACCGACCAGCAATTCACCACCCGCTCTGCTGCCATAGGTGGCCAAGTTGCACCCAACTCTATCGTGGGGGACTAACTACTATGAAAAAAGGCCCAGAAAAAGCTCATAAATAACATGACCTCAGAAAGCAACAAGAACAACACCCCTAGGGACTAACCACGCTGAACCTACAGTGTATGGTCACCCCCCTCTCCTTCACGTAGGAGATCCCTCCACCAGAATATAGCTACCCCAATTGAAATCCCACCTAGAATCAACTATCCCCCCCTAGCCAACACCAACCAACTAACCTATCCAAAGGCTGAATAGAGAACCGATAACGCCATCAACAGCCGTGTGGGGAACCCATAGGAGTGCAAAGATCGCAGCCAGACTTCAGACGTAATGAAAATGGGCAACAACGTAATAGGTCGGCAATGCGTGCAGTCTCTGAGGAGTGACAATCGGCACAATGGACTCTCTCTTCAACCCAGCAGCGCGTGTAGTCTCTGCAGGGGAGGTTATTACGATAAATCTCAAGGTTCAATAGTCATTTCCACTGATTCTGCCCGTAGTTTGACAATAATGCCCATCCCCGGAAAGCCAGTAAGCAAAAGCTTTAGGGGTTAAAAGGTCAGCTATATTGCTGCGGTCTGACCCAACGGGTTGGACGACCCGGTGCCGGGCCTGATAAGGCTACGGCCCGGCAGCAGGCGAAGGTAGAAACAATTTGTCCATCGGCTTTAGTATACCATTGGGGATGAAGGTCAGTAAAGAAGGGCAGTTTAAAGGTTGCAAAACCATAAGTAGTATCAGTTTTACCGGTCCGTTTGTCGTAGTATTCATTTGTATAGGGTGGGGCACCTACAATACCTATACTATTAAAACAATCCCAGAGATTCTGGACAAAATCACGATGCTTAATCTGCATGCGTCTTTACCATGGATTCGTAGGGTTCCTAACCAGGGATTTACGGATAGCTCTAGAGAGCAATTTCCAAAGTAGTCTAGCTTCTTTACGAGTCATTGTATTTGTATTGTCAAATATGGTTTGGTGTACTGCGGCCTGTCGGCTGCGGTCTGACCCAACAATTGGGTTGGACGACCCCTGCGGTCTGACCCAACGGGTTGGACGACCGCAGGAGGTGCCGGTCCTGATAAGGGTACGGCCCGGCAGCAGGAGCCGTAGCCTGGGGGCCCGGCTCCGCTCCTGCGGCCGTCCAACCCGTTGGGTCAGGCCGCAGCGGCTCCCGGTGCCGGGCCTGATAAGGGTACGGCCCGGCAGTCCGCGCCGCCGCAGGGAAAACACGGAACTGGCCCCTAAAACTGAAATTATAGCCCAACTCTGTAGGCCATCATAGATGGAATCTGCGACTTTACGATAGATTGTAGTGTAGTCATAGAGGCCTTAGCTATCCGGATTCTGTACTGATCCTTAGCTTGATTTTTAGCAACCCGCGTAGATTCTATATTGAACTTAGTTAAGAGTATAGAGCGTCATTTGTCGACCTCCGCAGTGGTGAACGAATCGGTACATAGGATCACTACACCATCACGCCTATTATAGCTTTCGTCTCCACAAATCCAATAAGCAAGAGCTATAGGTGTTAAAAGATCATAAATATTAGCAGGTATGACTTGAATCTTTTTCCCGGCAACTTTAGTATACCATTGATGGTGAAGTTAAGTGAAGTAAGGAAAAGTCAAGGTGTCAAAGCGCCATGCTACGTAGGTTTCCCCAGTTTCCTTTAAAACCCGAGAGACCTCTTAGGAGTGGCCCCTACAATACCAATAGTATTCAAAATATCATAAAGATGATAAACAAATTCCTTGTCTTTCAAATTTTAAGTGCTGCATTTGAATTAGGAGTTCTTTGATCTTTTTTCAGTGAGGCATCGCTAAGAATTAATCCTGTAATAACCTCTTTGATATGAGGAGGGAAAACGATCAGAGTTTTTTGCTCTTTGGTTAGACGTTGGCGAGTGGGTATGCCCTTAGAGTCAGAAGCATAGCCCCTAAGTTGCCCGTCCTTGTGGATAACCCAGTGTAAGTTTTGATAGAGAGGAGCTTGCAGTTTAAAAACTGTAGTTTGAATAGGTCTCATGACGTCAGGCCGGTCCTCATAGTGAGCATAAACCTCAATCTCTGTCTTGTCTAAGGTAGGGCTCACAAACCCTAAGAAAACCTGCCAAGGTGTCAACCAAGTGTCTTGGAGGTCCGCACTGTCACCATTCTGAATAGGAGGATTCCCCATATAGATGATCGGTATGAACCGTAAGAACCATGTGTCAAAATACAGTCGTAAAGGATTCGAGAATAAGAAAGAAATCCGAAGGCAAGAAATTGCCACCACAAAGAGGAACTCAAAGAGGGCAGAAATAATAGAGCAAATAATCCCTGAAAGTAAAAGAAAGGGAAAGCAAATTATGTCCAAGTGGACAATAACAGCATTGGCCCCGGCTACAATTAAGAATAAGGATAGCAGATGAACAAGCGCACCAGCAATATAAGGTATTAAAGCTATAAAGCTATATCAAATCCATCAATTTAAAGAATACAGGAAAGGAGCGAGCACCAAGAATAATGTCATAGGGGGAGTTTTTAAAAGTAGTTGTAAGAGTTGTTGTTAGTAGAAGGAATAATAGTCAAAAAGATGAGGAAAAGAAGAGAGAGTTTAGGGTCAGGAATCAATATTGCGAAGGAGAGAACGAAAAGCAGCCCCGTAACCATGTAAAGAGCATAGTGAGGGATGTAGCCTGAATCGAGAGAAGCGACACGTGAAGATATAGTGGTAACTAACCATACCAAACCATATGGTCCTAACAGCTCCAGTACCCCTTTGTCAAGGACCTTGTAAGTGTTATACCCCATTTTCAAGACTAGGGAACCCAATCTAGCGTAAAGAAGGCCAAAATAATAAGCTTGGTTGAAAAACCAGTAGATTGCTAGACCTATCTTAGTAGTTACCCCCCAGACTAAGAATTGAGGGAATAAAGAATAGAAAAATAACACTAAAGTAGAGCCAAGAAGGGTCAAAATTAAAGGGAGTAGCTTGAAGAAAAGAGGAACAGTGAATTCGAATTCACTCGCATGATCAGGGTGTATAAAAAGGGAATTGGCAAAGATACTTGAGCCCGGTCCTATGAAAAGATCAGAGGCGAAATACCCAAAAGAAACACTGAATATAGCTAAGACTCCAAGAGGTATAGCCATGACTAACGGTGGCTCATGAACAGAAGTGTAATTGGCTCTGGGGCCGTGAGGGTTGGTCAAGAATGTTAAGTAGAGTAAACGGGTAGAGTAGGCAGCAGTAAGTGTAGCCGAAACTACAGCCAACCAGTATGCCACTTTACCACTTAGAGTATAAGAGCCATAACCACCTGTAATGATCAAGTCCTTTGAGTAGAAACCAGTCAAAAAAGGAACAGCCATCAAAGACATTGAACCTATTAACATTAGAATATAACAGAAAGGAAGAAATCTGAGCAGTCCTCCGTACTTACGAATGTCCTGCTCGTCATGCATGGAGTGTATGACAGCACCAGCTGATAGGAAGAGCAAGGCCTTGAAGAAGGCGTGATTAACTAAATGGAATAAGGCTACATTGTACTGTGAGAGCCCTATGGCCAGAACCATCATACCAATTTGGCTTACAGTGGAGTAAGCTATAACCCTCTTAAGGTCGTTTTGCACTAAAGCAATACTCGCACCTAAAAACACGCTCAAGGTTCCTACCCAAAGGGTGAGAACTAATCCTGTACTGCTGTACTCCAGCAAAGGGGATACTCTCATTAATAGAAAGACTCCTGCTGTAACCATAGTAGCTGCGTGAAGTAAAGCGGACACAGGAGTGGGTGCCTCCATCGCATTAGGAAGCCAAACATTGAGGCCGAATTGGGCTGATTTGGCAATTGCCCCTGCTAAGAGAGCCAACACTGAGAGTGTTACCAGGTCTCCGTTAATGTAAGGAGCCAATACAAATATTGTAGCAAAATCTAAGCACCCAGAAACCCATAGAAGGGAAAAAAGGCCAGCCAATAGCAACCAGTCTCCTACTCTGTTGAGTAAGATAGCTTGAATCGCTGCTTTGGTGGCTTGAACCCGAGTGAACCAGAAAGATATGAGTAAGAATGAACAGATTCCTACGCACTCCCATCCCAGAAACATAACTACAAAGTTATCGCCACAGACTAACAGGAGCATGAAGAATGTGAACATCGAGAGGTAGGCAAAGAAACGCTGATGGTGGGGATCAGGGGCCATATACCCTACCGAATAGATGTGGACTAGCGCTGAAACTAATACCACGGGTAGTAGCATCGAGACCGTCAAGGTATCGAACAGGAACCCCCAGGATAAATAGAGTAGCTCGGAATCTAACCAGATACCCAATGAAACCGACACTGGAGAGGCAGCCAAAGCTACCTCAAAGAAGGCAATGGTAGACAGCAAAAAGGTTGATACTATACCTATACAAGTTACTAAATGAACACCAGAACTCCCCAGCTTTCTACCTAAAAGGCCTGAAGCTAGAGTAACTAAAAGAGGAAGGGCAATAATAGTTAAATACATTACAATACATTTATGATCTTATGTTTTCTTTTCATACTTAAATTCAATTCCTCCAGTAATAGATAGCAGTCTTCACCGCTGAGTAGGCAGTTAAGAGTCATACCCAGGACCAGGGCCCCAAAAGAAAAGGTAAGTAGGGGGGAGTTTTGAAGGAAATTCATTCATTAACTGAAGTGTTAAGCAAGAGAAACAAGGTATTACAAACAAACCCGAAAGAAGTAGGAAGAGCAGGAATAAGGCCCGACACAAAAGAAACCAGAATAATAGGTAACCCCAAAAAGGTAGCAGAGAGGAGAGGTAACTATTGTAGCCCAAGTCGATAGGTCATCATTGAAGGCATATGAGCTTTTACCAACTCCTGTTCCTTAGGGACCTCTCGCTTTGGTATTCGAATGCGGTACTGAGTGGGTCGAACAACATTACGAGTAGAATGGATATTAAACTTAGATAAAAGAATCTCACGTAATAAATCGATTTCCTCAGCAGTAAAGCTGTCTGTATAGATCTCTATTCTACCTGTAGATTTATCGAACGACCCGGTCCGGTCCTATAAGGGTACGGACCGGACAGCTGCGGCCAAAATTCACAATGAAAAATAGTCTGATACAAAATCCAAATTTGAACCTGCCTATTTAACTATATTGAATTTTAATATGTCTTCTTTTATTCATTATTGTCCACTATTTCAGTATTGTAATTATTTTTATTAGTGATTTTAGCCGTATGAGATTACATTGAAATTTGATTGATTTGACGATTGACACTATTTTTAGTTATTTGATTTATTGGTATATTAGCCTCTTTAACAATTTGATTTGACATGATTTTATACACTTTTTTGATATTGACGCTTCAATAAAATTCAGGATTGACTCTGATAAAATGAAGCCCTCACGCTACTTTGTTAAGGAAATAGTGGCTATCATCCTATAAAGAAAGCCGAGTCGTTGCAGCCTATAAAAATGAGGCACTATCCTACCTACTGTAATAATCAGGCTATCTTCTCTTCTATTACAAATAAAGCCTACTGGATCACCATATAATTACTCCCATTATCTCTGCGCTAGTAAGGGCATGAGCGCGTAGTGGATTCTCACTCCAGTAATGGGTTAGACATAAAGATGTTCCCTTACCTAGCAGGCTTCCACATTCACCTGGTAGTGTAGAGAGCCTAATTAGGATGCATACAATGCAGACCTTTGTAGGTTAGAGAGCGAAGAATCAATTAGTAAACCGGAGGGTGCTATACAGCTGTCTATGTTAACTCCATACAGGAATCTAATAGGAGCTAGGTTCAGGGTCCAGTTGCGGCCTGACCCAACGGGTTGGACCGGTGCCGGGCCTGATAAGGCTACGGCCCGGCAGGCCGCAGGTCCTCTGTGAAGCAAAATTACCGAAAGAATTGGGCCACCCTCCCATTGTCTAGAGAATTGGGCGGAAAAATTGGTTTGATTTTCTCAGTTCAATTTTTTTTTCGGGAAGCTCCCCCGACTCCAGCCCCTTAGAAAACTGCTATCCGCAACGACTCGCCCTGTAAAGGCAATAGCTTACTAATCAAAGATAGATTGAACCCGTCATAGATCATTTAGACTATGGCCTAACACTCCACCGGCGAAGGCTGGTGTTATTGGAACCTAGGTTAGCCCTAGGAAGTATGAAAAGTAACGGAGCATTTAAGCAAAGATGGTTGCTCGCTGGCTCTTTTCAACCAATGCTAAAGACATTGGGACGTGCGCGACGTGCACTTGCTGGTTTGTTCGAGTTATGATAGAGTGCATAACTTTAAGCATATTAGGCTGCAGATTACTGCAATGCTTATCCTACGGCGATGGCTTACTATCTGCTAAAAACTGTAGTAACGTTATAGCAGTCGTCGAACGTGTATACGGGTTATGGCTGCCCATAACTAACATGTACATTAAGGATCTCTGGTATGGCTACGTTAAGAAACTTGAGATTGAAATATCGACGTACGGGGTGCCACGAGTCAGGCCTCGCCTCTTAAGCAGAATATCACGGGGCGTGATCGGCTACCTAAATGCTACATTCGGAAGTCCCGACGAGTGTGGTTGCCTAAAAGCCGGAACCCACTCCAGTGAGGAGAGTTTTAAAAGAACACGTGCGCAAGGGCCTAACCCAGAAACCACTCTGACAGAAAATGAAACCTTTTCTGTCGAAAAAGGCAGCCAGCTAGGACCGTCGGAACTAAGCGCCTCTACATGTAAGCGCAGTCGGAGTTCCCGTAGTAGCTCGCCTCCCAAAGGAGACGACTTCCAGGAAGCGAAGGGGAACAGGGGAAAAACGCTAACTCAGTTACAAAGGTCTCGTAGCAAGGTCAGCAATGATAACCTACGTACGTTTGTTCAAACTCTGTTAGGTGATTACAGGGACTCTGAAGGACTATATAATGGTATTGTAAGAATACTAGGTGATCCCTACTTTCTGCAGTATTGTTATATGCTGATAAAGGGTAAACCTGGAAATATGACAAAGGGTACTACGAGGGAAACCCTGGACGGAATAAGTTTTGAATGGTTCGAAAGAATCGCCTCTGGAATCCGGGACGGGAGTTTCAAATTCGAACCAGCTCGAAGAGTGATGATACCTAAGCCTGGTAAGAGGGAAAGAAGACCTCTCGGAGTTGGGAATCCTCTCGGAGTTGGGAATCCTCGCGACAAGATAGTGCAAAAAGGTTTACAGATCGTATTAGAGGCGATCTATGAACCTAAATTCTATGACTGTTCTCATGGTTTTAGACCTCAACGATCTACACATAGCGCCCTTAGACAATTACATCTTCGCTCTCATCATTTTACTTGGGTGATTCAGGGAGACATTTCAAAATGTTTCGACACTATACCTCATCGAAAGATCATGGACATACTGAAAAGGCGTATCATTTGTGACAAATTCCTGACAATGATACAAAAATCGTTAAAAGCAGGATATCGTATTCCCCAAACAAAAAAATATGTAGTTACCGACATCGGGACTCCACAAGGGAGCGTACTTAGCCCCCTGCTATCAAACATAGTACTCCACGAACTAGATGAATATATGGTAAACTGCGTGGAACCTGAGTATAGAAAAGGGAATCGAAGAAGAGGGAACCCAAATTATGAAAAGTGGGCACTCATTAGATACAATAAGAAGGCCACAAAAGCCCAGCGTGATGAAGCCCTGAAACAAATGTTAATGACCCCGCGAATTGATCCCCACGATCCTAACTACCGACGACTGTATATTAGATATGCAGATGATTTTGTGATTCTAATCGAGGGACCTAAAGACGATGCATATGAAATCCGTAATAAGGTAAAAGAATGTTTAATAAACTCATGCGGTCTCGAATTAAATGAGGAGAAGACAGTAATCACGCACATAAATGAAGGTTTTAATTTCCTAGGGGCGTATGTGAAAGGTCTACCACGTGTAGGCTACATGATGAGGACAAAAACCGTGAAAGGAGACCAAATAAGGATGAGAGCCAACATTAGATCTAGGATAAACGCTCCTACCAAAAAGATGCTGGAAAAACTTCTAAAAGGAAAGATCGCACGGAGAGACAACAGAAATATGATAACCGCTCAACCCCTCACGGCATTAGTAAATATGGATCACGCCACAATTATTCAATACTACAACTCAAAAATAAATGGTATAATAAATTACTACTCCTTTGCAGGTAATCGTAATGAGTGCCTGAACATCATATGGATACTCAGACATAGCTGTGCGAAAACACTGGCCCGGAAATATCGGATGAGCACCAGACAGGTCTTTAAAAGATTCGGACCATTTTTAGAGGATTCTCAAACCAATATAAAACTGAACATTCCAAGAAGCCTAAGGGCCATTCACTTGTATAGAGTAAAGGAAAATCTGAATTCCCCTATAGACACACTAGACAAAACTTGGTTCGGCCGTCTGACACAAACAAACGTGTTCAAATCCTGCATCTTATGTGGAACCTCCAAAAAAATCCAGATGCACCACCTTAGATCAGTAAAAGATGTCCGGATAAGAATAAAGAAAAAGGGAGCCAATTTCAAAACAATCGTAGGGGCATTTCAAAGAAAGCAAATACCACTATGTCAATATCATCACACCCTATATCACCAGGGTAAGCTACTAAACTATGAAATGAAGGCTCTAGCCCAATACTCAGACAATTTAGTAGATCATTACTCTGTAGAACCTAAGAAATAACTGTAATTCATGACGATCTCCGTTTTCCCTGGCGAGCCGTGTGATGGGAAACTATCACGCACGGTTCTGAGGGCAGTTTCATAGGTAAGCTGACCCCTACTTTATACCTGGTTTTCGCACTGTTTGCTGGAATGATCGGTACAGCCTTTTCAATGGCCATACGGCTAGAGCTATCTGGCCCAGGCCCACAATTCCTACAGTCGGACCATCAGCTTTACAACGTTATCGTAACGGCCCACGCATTCGTTATGATTTTCTTGTGCGCCCCTGTGCTGTATTTTTGGCTTTCTCTGTGGCTGAGAGATGGGGAATGCACCTCACAAAGAACACTAGCGTTCATATGGATGAAAGTGGAAACTTGTAGGCCCATAAAGGGACCGGCTAACCGGAAGGGGAAACCCCGAAGGAACAAGAGCATGCCGGCAAACTCATATGAGCGAAAACCGCATAACGCAAGAAGTATGAGCACCCTAAAGTCACCAAGGACAAGGCTAAACTGCTTTAAACCTAGCTCGCGCTCGGAACGCATAACCGAATGGGAAAGCGGCCATGGCCCATTGTCTTCAACTGGTAAGGACCGAAGAATTCCGAATCAGGGTGCTTTGAAGACGGCTTCCTGGGAATTAATCCCAGTGATTGTGAGCGATCGGGATCCTAAAGTGACTAGGCGGCCAAAATACGGAACTGGGGGATTCCCTAAAGGGAGCAATCCCCATGGGAACGGACGGATCATACTACCAGTTCGAGGCCGGGCCACATGGCCTGTACTTGGATGCGCTCTCTTAATAGGGGAGGAATGGGAAGGATCAAGGCCCTTAACCTCTAAAAGTGACTCTCGCCTTGGATCTAATCCCGGGCTGGAGAAACTAGAGGTAGTGCGTTCCAACGGCTCTAAATCTAGAGAGAACAAAGTATACCACTTATTACTGGAACCGGACATTCACATAGCGGCATATGAAAAGGTGCGAAGGAATACAGGGAGCATGACACCGGGAGTCGATGGAGAAACGTTAGACGGCTATTCCTTAAGGGAAATAGAAAAGACCATACAGGCACTAAAGAGCCACACTTTCCAATTCCGTCCGTCACGGAGAGAATACATACCTAAGGCTAACGGAAAAATGCGTCCTATTCCTTCCGGTGCCGGGCCTGATAAGGCTACGGCTCCTGCGGTCGTCCAACCCGTTGGGTCAGACCGCAGCCGGCAGCCTAGAGATAAAATTGTGCAACAAGTCATGGTCATGATCCTAGAGGCAATATGGGACTCTCCAAAGGACCCAATATTTAACGACCAATCCCATGGTTTCCGACATGGTAGAGGGACCCATAGTGCTCTCAAGGCAGTTACTGTATGGGGTGCAATAGACTGGTTAATTGAAGGTGACATTAGTAGCTACTTTGATACGATAGACCACCACGTATTGGAAAGATTATTGAAGAGACGAATTCAAGACAAACAGTTTCTGGATCTGTACTGGAAAGCAGTCAAGGGCGGTGCCGGGCCTGATAAGGCTACGGCTCCTGCTCCTGCGGTCGTCCAACCCGTTGGGTCAGACCGCAGGGTCGTCCAACCCGTTGGGTCAGACCGCAGCCGGCAAGGTTATGTTGAAAGAAAAACGGGAAAGAAAGTGGATGCAATTGTAGGTGTTCCTCAAGGCAGTGTGTTATCCCCAATTTTGTCGAATATTTACTTACACGAACTTGATGAATGGATTAAGAGCAAGCAAGACGAGGGATTGAAATCTGGGAGTACAACGACAACTAATCTGATATATGGTAGACTTCACTGTAGAATTCATCGATTATATAGAATAGCTAGAGAAGGCGGAGAATTAACTAGTGAACAAAAGACCGAATTGATCCGAATGAAGAAAGAAAGAGCCAAAACTCCTTCAACTGCTAAAGGAGAAGGACATCGAATATATTACGTTCGATACGCGGATGATTTCTTAATAGGGGTGAGAGGGCCGAAAGTGTTGGCTGAAGGAATTAAGGAAGAAATCAAATTATTGTTCAATGAAGAACTAAGGATTCAACTGAGCTGGGAGAAGACGCATATAAAAGACGCGAGGAAGCAAAAAGCTCGATTCCTAGGCATGGATATATATCGTCCCACTTCCCGAACCGGTGACGTTAAGGTTATAACTAAGAGAGTTGGAAGTCAACTTTTCAGAACACGAATACCAGCTAGCCGCCTAGTGATTGAAATCCCGATTAAAAAGCTCATTGAGAAGTTAGCCCATCAAGGAATATGTAGTATAGAGGATTACAATCAAGGTAAGATTACGCCTAAGGGAAAAACTGCATGGATGAACTTGCCTTTATATGACATAGTAATGCAATATAATGCGCTACTGCAAGGGTTAGTTAACTATTATTCCTGTACTAAAAACAGAGCGAGACTACAATTCATTCAATTTCTTATACAACATAGCTGTGCGAAACTGATAGCACGAAAGTTAAGTCTAGGTAATAGAACCAAAGTATTCAAGAAATTTGGTCGGAATCTAAGAGTAGAAATGAATGAGGGCGGAAAAACGAAGACCATAATGCTGAAACTACACAAGTCCTTCCGTGCGCTCGGTAAATTCCGAATAAATCCGCCGGAGCCAATGGATATATTCTATTACAGTCTAAGAAGTCGAACACTACTCCACAAAGTTTGTTGTATATGCTCATCCACTGAAAAGGTAGAAATGCATCATGTCAAAAGTCTGAAAGGAAACCCACGGGATTTCTTGGTGCGATGAAGGCCATTAATCGAAAACAAATTCCAGTGTGCCGAAAATGTCATGTCCGAATCCATAAAGGTGAATACGATGGGATATCTCTAGGTAGAGTATAGAGGAAGCAGAAAAAAGGGTGAGGAGCCGTATGCGGTGAAAGTCGCACGTACGGTTCTTGGAGGGAGGTATTGGCTGCCTTTCAGGCACTGGTATCTTATCTCACCCTCGTGATGCCGGCGTTGATCTTTGCAAGATTAACCTATGCCCTATCTATCCTGATTCTACCACAGACAAGGAAAATGATCCTTTGGATACTATATTCGCCTTTCGCCACCTTTCGTTAACATCCAAAGTCGAACCTAGCCAAGGGAAGATGCGGCCTGACCCAACGGGTTGGACTTGCGGCCTGACCCAAAGGGTTGGACCGGTGCCGGGCCTGATAAGGCTACGGCTCCTGCGGTCGTCCAACCCGTTGGGTCAGACCGCAGCCGACAGGCCGCAGCCGCAGAGCAACGAAAAAAGTCCAAAGCTCTGGCGGACGGTGCCGGGCCTGATAAGGGTACGGCTCCTGCTCCTGCGGTCGTCCAACCCGTTGGGTCAGACCGCAGGGTCGTCCAACCCGTTGGGTCAGACCGCAGCCGGCACCGGCCGCTAAACATTTGAATTGTAGTCAACCAACTATTTCAAAGTATGCAGACTCGGGAAAACTATTCCAAGGTAAATGGATTCTTTCAAAAGTTCCTCTTAGCTAGGTAAGACACCTTAGAATTATTAATTGGCTCATTTGCAAATTTGGATCATCACCCACTAAGATATAAGTTGGTTGCTATGGTAGCGTAGCGGACGGAGCCGGGCCTGATAAGGGTACGGCCCCGGTGCCGGGCCTGATAAGGGTACGGCCCGGCAGGCAGTCCGCCGTACCTATGGCCGCCGTACTCCCCGTAATTAACAGTAAGTCCTTAAGAAGAAGATAGATAGAGGCTAGGTCTAAATAACGCCGTTCTAATGGGTAACCATTGGAATTACTACTCTACTATATGCGGGAAACTCTTAAAGATTAAGGTAGGCCAAAGAGCCTAACAATCCTTAATATGAACAATAGACAATCCGCAGGTAACTCAAATATTATCGGAAATTGGTAACTCAAATATTATCGGAAATTAAGAAACCTCAGAGACTACACGTAGAGTACCTTAGCTTTAGAACCCCGAAAGAAAAGGTGGTCTAAACTCGGACGGAGCCGTACTTACGGGCCGCCGCCGTACCTATGGCCCGCCGCCAGGTTAAAGAGATAGTCCGCTCTTTGCCGAAAATCAAAGTTAACAAACTGGTTGATAGGGGGTTTCGCCAACTTCTTTATGCCTCTTCTTATCGGGGCCGTGGACATGGCAGACCAAAACCTTAATTGTTCCCTGAATTGTCTATCCTATTTTGTGGGGTTTACTGTCTATCTTATTTTGTAGGGTTTACTGTCTATCCTCTTTTATGGTCGCCTTACCTTTAGCAGTGATATGTTGTCCTGATAATACCATCTTGTGGACTGTCGTCCAGTCCTTGGAATTAAGGCCTTTGGTACCCATAAGAGGTAATTTTGTTAGATAAACGACCAGTACTTGGTTTGAAGCCTGGCTGCAGGTTGCAACATACAAGTATTCCACCGGTGGATTGTGATGTTTAGTTACCTTCAATTTCACACCTAAGAAATGGGCTATTGAAGACAGCATGGGCTCGTAGGATTCAGCCGGTGCCGGCTGCGGTCTGACCCAACGGGTTGGACGACCCCTGCGGTCTGACCCAACGGGTTGGACGACCGCAGGAGGTGCCGGGCCTGATAAGGGTACGGCCCGGCAGCAGGAGCCGTAGCCTGGGGCGGACGGAGCCGGGCCCTCAGGCTACGGCCCGTAGGCGTACCTATGGCCGCCGCCGGGCTCCGATCCAACCCAACGAGGTTGGGTCAGGCCGCAACGCGTGAGTGAGTTCTCCATAATAAAGAGCCTCAATGGTAGGCCACGATGAGAACTGTATCTGATCTGGGCGGAAACCCCTGCGGTCTGACCCAACGGGTTGGACGACCGCAGGAGGTGCCGGGCCTGATAAGGGTACGGCCCGGCAAGATTACAGCCTGCAAAGCAGGCTGCAAAGCAGGCATCACTCTTTAAACAGTGTCTCACCGCAGTTGTGGAAGGGACTATTTCTTCACCTCTGATCTTATGAGGTGCACCGCGTATAGTCTCTGGGGATTCCCTATATTATCAAGGTTTCCTGCTGATTGCCTAATTCCCTTGAATTATTCCGGTTGTAGAAACTCGGATCAGGGACTATCAAGGTTTCCCAGCATACAGCGATGTTCAAGTACTTACCCTGCCTGTTCCCGCTCCGGTC